TGTGTGTTCAGGTGTGGCAGTGTCTGCTGGCTCTCGGTGTGTCCGCTCTGGCCTGTGGATCTTCAGCTGAGTTTCCAGCAGCCGCTCTCATACAGGAGCAGCCCGAGTTCGACTCCTGAACCAAAGACTGAAGCAGGAGCTGGGTTTCTGCACACACACACACACACACACACACACACACACACAGTGCAGCAGATGATCATTAACAGTAGTGTGATATATCTAATAGACTAACAGCTGATGAGCAGCGCTGATGATTCAACCGTTATTTAAAGCTCCTTTAGTTTATGTTATAGTGTTTTAATGAGCCGCAGGAGCAGTATCCTGCGTTTATACCCTGAACATGTGTTTTACCTGCAGTAAATACTGACTTGCAGAGCAGCGAAGGATTTATTTGAGCTGAAACGACGCCATTATTCATACTTGAACACAGTGAAGCACCCAACCCCGGCTGAGGAGGATCATTGCGGCCTGATTCACAGTCAGTTGTGCTCAGATCTGCTCCATTATTTCATGCACAGGTTCATTTCAGAGACTGCTGCTGCTGCTGCTGCTGCTATACGGTCATGCTTCAGAACAATGCTTCTCTTATGGTCCAGCCAATGGAGGAAGCAGAAGAATCCTAATCTAATCTGAAGACCTGTTTATTCTGCTTGTTTAAGGAGAAACTGGTTTATTTGGGCTCATTGTTTCTGTTGTGCTTGTCTGGTGAATGCTGCTTGCTTTAAGAGTTTGTAGATCTGTGGACTAGACTCAAGACAGCAGTAAGAGAGGTGTTGCTCTGCAGCGCAGTGTTTGCTGTAGTTTAATCCGGCAGGTTAATAATCACCTTTAATGATTGAGAGATAATCAGCCATCAAGTGCCTTTGTGGAGATCTGCGTGTGTCGTGTCGCGCGTCTTCAGTGTTCTGTTTCTCCTGAACGCCACCTTGACCTGAGCTTCAGAGCAGATTTATGAGTTCTGTTTGCTGTTGCCGTTGTTTTAAACACATTCCTGACTGTCAGACATGCAGAAGTGTGTGTTTGAGTCTGTTCTGCAGTGGATGATGATGATGATGATGATGCAATAATAAACGTCCACCGCCACATGTGCTCTCAGGTGTTTTCATTGCAGCACACAGCATGCCTCAGTTTAACCTGAATGGCCGTCTTGTTTTAAATGCATGCTGTTAAACTCAAGCTATATCATATTTCTGTAGCTTATTTATGCTTTGGGTGAACATGTTAATCCACTGAAATCAATCGTTTTGGTGATGTTTAATTAATGTCTGGTGATTTGCATTTACTTTGTTTTTTACCTCTCACAAATGTTCTGCTGAAGTTTATTATTCAGTTGAGGTGAAATGTGTGTGTGTGTGTGTGTGTGTGTGTCAAGCGGAAACTAATGGCACGTCATTAGCGCTGTGTGATGCTGATTTGCATTAGCTTCATATGTAACTTACTAATGTAAATAGCTGAATCTGCATGCTCGCTAATATAGCCCCGCCCCCTACTCAATATTCAGGTATAGCTGGCAGCGCATCAGCATACTGTAAGAAGTGTCCGCAGCTCAGATCCTGATTACGGATCATCTCAGTTAAAGGCAGAGGATGTCATTGTGTCCAGTAGAGGGCGCATATTCACAACTAACAAACCACACTGGAACACACCGGGTGTGTGACGCGTTAGCATGAACACACACGCGCTGTGCAGTCATTATTTAGTGTACATCAAACACACTTTAACTCATCAGTCAGTAATCCGATTAGTGCTCATGATGGTTAATGGACGAGGCTCATCCCTCATGATTTGACCAGCACTTTAATGGCACAGCTGTGTTTATTCCTGTATGTGTGTGTGTGTGTGTGTGTGTGTGTGTGTATGTGTGTGTGTGTGTGTATTTTTGTGTATGTGTTTGTGTGTGTGCATGTGTGTGTGACTATGACAGACCTGCAGTCATGTGCTTCTCATCAGCATCTGATATGAAACATTGGATGAGCCCCACGCCGGCGCTGAACACACTGTTTTCGTCTTGTGTGTTGTTGTGTTTGGAGTGTGACGCTCGTGCCGTGAGCAGGAATATTCAGTGAATTCCAGAGCCGTGTGT